GACTAACGTTTTGAATTTTGATGAATAAACTTTAAAGAAAATTTCATCGTGAAGAAATGATGCACTGAGAAGAAGCATAAAGCTTCTTTGGCAAACACTTTTTTTTCTTCAAAACTGTAGGCGGTAGGATTAATTTTCTAGTAGTATCGGGAACGTTCTCAAGCAGTAAGATGTTGATGACGTGAAAAACTAGATTAATCTGTGCGTCGAATTTGTAGTATTTATCGGAACAAAGGAACAGTAAACAGCTAATCTCGTCGAATAGTGTAAGTTACATGTTTTTAACTGTTATATATCTTTGCTTTCGTTATTATTAGAACTCTATGTGTTTGCGCTTGTGTGTGTGCGTGTGTGGGAAGATTTTACATTTGCTCTAAAAAAATCTGCAAAGTGTAAAAGTTAGAGGATCTTTGTATTTAACGGTCACACAGCAACTTTTAAATTTTTCTCTTATTTTTCATGTTTTTATTGTCATGTACTTAAGTTTGTTCTCAGTGTTATAGCGTTTCTTCATTGTGACATATTGCGATTCCCAAAACTGCTTGATTTTTGGATAGTTATTTCTTTCAATTATTAGTTCAAGTTTTAGTACATTTCTTAGGTTGATTTGTTTCCAAAAGTTTACCACAGGATAAGCTTAACTTTCATTATATTCCATTTATTGCTTCAATATTTTTTGCTTCTTTATTGATTAGCAGATTATGACACTTAGTATATTTTGCGTCTTTTCGATTTTTTATTTTTTTACAAATAATTTTTGCTGCTTCCAGAAAGATATTCACAATCTATAATTTTTGCAGACGAAGTAGATGGGCAGAAGATAATGAGCTGTAGCTTTTTTTTTCAATCGTAGACGTTCTTTTCTAATTACATTTTGAAGTTTTTTATAATGACAGTGCTGTTGGAAAGTTTTGAATTTGCTGGGCTTGTGCAGTCAGTGTTATGAAAGGTTTTCTATTTGCAAAAGACCTCTGAATTCTGCTTATTGCTTACTGTTATTTAAGGCTGAAAAGCACATTATCTTCTGCTGGTTTTGTTTGAAGCATAAGTGGTTTTAGCACTCTGTTTTGCTTAGTCATTTGGCTTTTATTGCTCTTATTAATGTTACAATTACTGTTACAAAAGGCTGTCAGCATAATCTAGTTTTATTGCCTTCAATTGGTTATTTGTCGTCTATGCCGGTAATTCTAATCTTTTTTTTATTTTATTTTTCTGATTTTTGTGAAAAAAGTTGCATTTGGGTGAAAAAGTTATGTGTATTCAGGTTTCCGCATTTTTGATATTCTGATTGCTTTCTTTTGTTTTTGTTTTGGGTGGAAATGCATTAAATTCATCTATTTTTAGCGTTAATGATAAATTTTAACTGACTAGGATTTTCCAAGCAATTTTTGCGTTTGTTAATTGAAGCCTGTAATTATTGAACCAAACTTCAGCAATTAAAGAACTTAAGCTTTTTTCTCACTTTTATATAAATAAATAAGCAAGTAAACAAATGAATAAATAAACAAAAAACAAAGTTAATAAATTTATATATATGTACAATGTTCATTTATTTATTTATTTATCTGTTTACGTTTTCAATTTGTTTATTTGCTTATTTATATATTTATCTACACGCTTATTTGAATTTATATTTTTGCGTCTTTATTTATATACTTTGTAAAAATAGTTTTTTTTTAATTAGATTGGAATAATTTAATTTATTTTTAGCTTCTTTAAAAGATTTTTTTCTCGTGTGCTATTGTTTTTGATTGCGCTCTACTACTTTTTTTTTTTTTCCGCTGAATAATGCGTTCAAGGAGGTTATACAACCCAATACACTTAGGATAGGGCATTTCCAGCGAACAAAGGTTCTTATTTCAGATGGACTTTCTCATTGACGTTTTTCTTTTTATCTCCTTGTTCTTGGACTTTTATCGACAGCCATCATCTTTTATATCGTCTGTGGCAATAATTTAACTTTTTATTATTGTGGATTTGATTTATTCAGTTAGCAATCTTTGTTAGAGCTGGAAAGGGTGAACTAGTTGTTGAGACATCGATGAATGAAACTAGCAAATAATTGTAGTAGCTTTAATGGGGAAGTCAAGTTTTAGTTTGTTTAAACAGTATTGTCAGCGTTTTATGTATTACTGCCATTCTAAAGTGATTATATTTGTTGGTGTTGCAGTTGATATGGTGAGTAAGTGAGCTTCGTAGATGTATATTACTGGCTTATTCATTTTGTTGAACATATTTTCTCCGTCTACTTTTTTTTTTTTTTTTTTTTTTTTTTTTTTTTTT